ATGAAACCATTTCCGGGGGTCGTGAAAGTTGGCAGACCCCCAGAGTATCCCAAGTCCCCGCAAGTCCCGTCCAGGTAGTGGGCGCGAGTGAGCCGCTGAGCCAGGTATGGCCTGCCCCAGCAGCAAGTTGAGATGTACTATGAAGTCTTCAAGATATGGGTGGCTCATGTTTTTGGAGGGCTCGTCTTTTTGCGAGGATAAGCCTTGAAAAGCGTGAGTACCAATAATGAGGGTGGCTGTGGACTAGTCGTGGTGAGAACCAAAAGGGCGATAGTTGAAAGACCATCAGGCCAAGCATCTAAATGATGGTCCCCGCATCACCCCCACGTCACCATTGGGGGACGACATTCTTAGGAAGCAAGAATCGTGCCTTTTTTCCGCAAAAGGCGCAACCATGCCCATAGAAGTCGGCCCAGGTGCCGAGAGGCCCGATTAAACGTAGGGCCAGGGTCACACCTCCGCATAGAGATCCTCCCCTTAGTCTAAAACTGTAACTCCTCTAAAGTGTAGCCATCCTCCTTCACCTAGCCACCACATATGTCTTGGCCAGCTGACAAAACCCCAATCGTCAGTTTCTGTGGTCTATGTCCGAATTTATGTGGCTGTGGCTCAAAAACATTTCGGTAAATGGAACCAAACACTAAAACCTGCGTAACCCTGGCTCTTTACTTTTGGGCCACACCCATGTCATCTCAATGAAACCTCCTAACATTCCCGCCAAAATTGCAGCTTCAAGGGCTGGACAATGAGCATGATCCTTCCCCCCCACCCCCTCACCCCCGGACCTGACTCTGCATCTACGGTCTTAAATCAGACTTTAAATGACATGAAACTTGAAACCCAAAACCAACAACTTGCCATCACATTCCCTGTGTGGAAAGCTGTTCGCTTCGTGCCATCTGAATGAGGACTGAAGTGAAACATCACGGATATCCCTGGGATCTCTCTCTCTCTCTCTCTTTCTCTCTCTCTCTCATTTGGTAGGGTGATATTCCGCATGGCAAGAGGCTCATATCCCTTGACACTACCAGTACCAGGGTTTGCCTTTTCCACTGAAGTGAACAGCCTCCCTTGAAAAGGGTATCTACACTGCCAGGAAGGCTGCTTATTTATCCCCCAAACAGTGGAAAAGGCAAACCTCAGACCAGTACCAGGCTCATGGAACCGCAGAACTCTCCGGAACTCTTGCGCCAGGGCCATCCGCTGCACGAGACTCGGACCCTGGGGCGCGCCTCCCGTCCCGAATGCCGGCCGCTTCCTCGAACCAGCCGCAGACCTGCTGCCTTGAGGCAATGGCCCCTACTCGAATGGGGGGCAAAGATGTGCTTCTTCCTCTGGTTGGGACTGTCCCCTACTAAACTTCAGTGTCTCAACTCTTCCATTTGCTTAAGCCCCCAGTGATTGATGCAACAGGGGAAAACAGCACCTTGGAAAAAAAACAAGTCCAGTAGTGAGAGTTTTCCTTCAAAACCAATAGGGGAAAACAGCACCTTGGAAAAAAAACAAGTCCAGTAGTGAGATTTCCTTTAAAACCAATAGGGGAAAACAGCACCTTGGAAAAAAAAACAAGTCCAGTAGTGAGAGTTTTCCTTTAAAACCAATAGGGGAAAACAGCACCTTGGAAAAAACACAAGTCCAGTAGTGAGAGTTTTCCTTTAAAACCAATAGGGGAAAACAGCACCTTGGAAAAAACACAAGTCCAGTAGTGAGAGTTTTCCTTTAAAACCAATAGGGGAAAACAGCACCTTGGAAAAAACACAAGTCCAGTAGTGAGAGTTTTCCTTTAAAACCAATAGGGGAAAACAGCACCTTGGAAAAAACACAAGTCCAGTAGTGAGAGTTTTCCTTTAAAACCAATAGGGGAAAACAGCGCATATTCTTGAGCAAATGGAAAAGGCTTCCTGTTGAAAAGTGGGCGGCCTTCATTCCTTTACACCGCAAGTAGGTCTTGCTCAGCCCAAACAGTTCAGGCGAATGTTTGGTTGCCTTTCAAACATGCAAGGGGGGCCGGCAGTTGTCCGGTCTAAGAGTTCTAACACCCACACCGCCTGCCGGGATACTTCACAAACATACAAAGCAACGCTAGGCATACGACAAAAGCCAATAAGCAAAATGGAGATTACACCGTTAACATGAACGACAAGAACATCTGCAAACAAGCCTCCAAACGAGCCTCCAAACAACAAACATCACCCTCTGTCCAACGGCGGCTGAGGGACACAGTAGAGTCTCTATCCAACCTACACATTAAACATTAAAAACAACAAAACATAACGATTGGTGCGACGCATTCTTTGAAACCACCCTAAACCACAGCAATCAACCCATGTCACAAGGTCCTTGGTCTTTCTGCTGCTGGTTTTGTTGGCTATCCCCCATGTGGTTCCTCATGAGCCAGCCATGCCTTACAAATACGAAGATCCGAGACCAAATCAAACAATACACTCTTACAGGATAACATATTTACCCCACGCAACCACCATTTCTAGAGTCGATCCGTTTGTGGACACACCGTTTTTTCCCGTTCCATGTTGGAGCGACTATCGTAGGCTTTTGTGTCCATCGAGAAAAAAAAGAAAAGCAGAGACTATCGTAGGGGTTTGTGTCCATCGACCCCCCCCAAAAAAAAGAGAGAGGAAAAAACGACACCTCCCGCCAACTGAGCTGAGGTGCCAGTTGAGGTTGCCTTCTGGCTGGCCCTCCAGCAAGCCGCAGTTGATCACTAAGTGCTTCCAGTCCTCAGCGTGCCCTGGGTATCCACCCAGCTTCCCCAAAGGCCAGGGTATAGATTTCTCATTTTGAGTGGAAAAAATCCGTCCAAAAAAGGAAGCAAGGGCACCTTTGAACAAGTGGGAACATGTGAATACATATATCTTTGACAAAGGGGTCTCTTCAAGATGAGTGCCCGCTCACACTGTTCAATACCATTCATTGGAACTTCCACCTCCCTGGGCAAATCGTTTCCAAGTGGCCAAGGGAACGCCAGATTTGTATACGTCAAGTATCTTGTTTCAAATGCGTGTGGCTTAACAACGTACCCCCAAAACGGCACCCTGGTAAATGGCAACAACGACCAACACAAGCGCAACCTAGCTTTTAATTCTTGAGCCACACCCAAATGAGCTGTCTGAGTGTCCTTTCGGTGATCACGCCATGCCACCCCTGACTCTTAGCTGGGGTCCCGGCATCCATACCTGGCAAGGACAAAGCATGGCGCAAGAGATTCGGGGTCAGTTTCAAATCTCAGACAGAGCAACTGATGAGAACCGAACGTATCTTGCAACCAGCTGGCGTGATATTTACACTGAAGTCAAGCCGTTTTGAGCAAGAAAAGATACCTACAACTTGGCTGGGCTTCCTGAAAGGACATCCAAAGAACAGCTGCCACAGGCTCGGCCATGATTCCGGCATTCCAATCCCAAGCGCGACGCCAAGGATCCCCGAAACTCTGAGCTCCACTTGCTTAAGTCCCCTGGAAAGAAAGAACCATATTTCCAGTAGTGATCAATTCCCTTTAAAAACCAACAGGGCGAAATTCAACATATTCATTTCAGCAAATGGAAGTCGTTCGCATTTTCGGATGTTCTTGAAATTCATTTCGGAAAACAACACATATTCTTAACCGCTCGCTTCACGCCTCCAAAGCCCCAACTCCCCAAAGCCAAGGGGCCGATGGTGTGCTGACTCGCCGACAGGTCCAAGCCTCAAATCGGCAAGAAAGAGGCCCCCGAATTGGCCAGTTTGCTCATAGAAACTCCATTTACATTCGAGAGGTAGCTTCATGCAGGTTTGCCAATGAACAAATGCCAACGTCTGAAAGATATGGGTGTGGCTCAAAATTTTAGAGCCAGGGGACCGCAGGCTTTAGTCGACTTTTCCATTTGCCAGGGTCCCATGTTGGGCCCCTATTTTTCAGCTACACCCATATGGGCCTCTTGCAAATAAAGAGTTGCAATGCAATTCGCATAGACCCGAGAGGATCAAATGCATAGCTCTTTGCCCAAGCAATCGCGCGTTTTTTTTTCGCATGGGGCTACCGCCCATGAAGGCATAGGAGTCGAAAAGGTCGATGAGAATGGCATAGAACTCCGTAAGCACATCTTTGACTCGCACCTGTCGCCACAAGCGAAGGCAAGGGTACAACATCTGATGGGTTTTTCCTTGGCCAGCGTGGCTCGATTTGGTTCCTGCCGGACTTTTACCCGTAGTTTGGCACCGTTCCAACAGGGGTGTGGTTTTCCTCTACAGGTCACGCTGGCCAAGCAATTGGCACAGCCTTGGTTGTCAAGCAACCCTACCTGAATTAATCTGATTTTGCGGAGATCAGCGTCCGCATGACTCATGAAGGATTGCTACCAAACAAACGTGTCACCCTCTCACAAGGAAACGCGTTACCCCCGAACTGCCAAAAACCTTAAGAACACACCTTCGGACAAATGCTGCCAACATCCACCATATCTACCAATGGAACATGCTTTCGGATCTGAGATGCAGTTGTGGTCTCTAAGGTGTGTGGTCGACGTGCTTCGCCGGGATCAAGCGTCACGGGGTCGACCAAGGATTGGCGCGCCCCATTTCCGAACAACCCGTGCCCCAAACAAACCCCAGCAGCTAGACCTCCAAGAAGGTTGTGAACATAGGTGTCCTTTTGGGGCAAATAGATCGCCCTGGTAGATGATGAAACCACCAGGTAAAAAAGCTTCCAAGAGCCTTCGAAGCAGCGGGGCAGACAAGACTTCTCGAGAGACGAGGTGCTCAATGGGCCACGAATCAACCAGCAAGCATCGGGACATCCGCTGAGATATGGGCCATGGGCCATCCCCAACTGGATCCGGACAGCCTCCACGTTCGACCAAGGGAACCTGAAACAACCTGCTCGCTGGCAGTTTCCCTTGGCTGCATGCAGACTTTTCAGCCACGCCCGCCTTCATAAAGGACTCCACCCACCTGGGCTCAAAACTTGGTTGCTGTTGGCCTCTCTGCAAAAAGTCTAACTTTTTGTGGGTTCTCTGGAAAACCCAATTTCCCGAAAAGTTAAAGTCTAAAGATCCAAACCCACTAGCAATCAAGAAAACCACAACCAAGTCCATTTCCCGGCTCGCGGGCAGCAGGATGTGTTCCCGAAAGCAAAGCATGCGACAATCAAACTGAAGTAGTTTACATGACAAAAAGTCAACAGCCAGAGTGCTCAGGTGACGTCAGGAGTCCTTGACATTAGATCCGTGGTGTCCAAAAGAAGATGTTTCCCTGTCCACTTCCGGTAGCTTCAAAGATTTGCGGGCTCGGCTTGTGCCTCGTTGAGCGGGCGTGTCGTTCGCATCTCATTGCGCTTAACTGTTAACGCCATCTCCCAAAATGGCAGTGGCTCAACACCATGTACCAAAATGGCACCTTGGCAAATGGAACCAAAGACTAAAACCTGCGGTTTGCCCTAGCTCTTGAATTTTGAGCCACACCCATGTGATCTCAATAACACCTTCGAATTCTCCCGCCAAAATTGCAGCTTCAAGGGCTGAGCAGCTTCTTTTGAGCCTCCCAAAATCATTGCATCTGAGCAGCTTCAAGCGAAGGGCCTCCCAGTCCTGGAAGCGAATTGGATGGGCTTGCGCACCTCTTGCTCAAGCCACGGAACCCTCAGCACCACTGGGCTGGTTTTCAGATTTCCGGCTGAAAGTCTAACTTTTGGTCAAATGGAAACTTCCACAACACCCTCAAAACCTGAAACGCCAAGGGGATGACTGGGAGCCACCAAGTTGTGGTTGCGCTCTGGAAATAACACAGTGAAACCTAAAAGCTTAATGACCAAGACCAAAATCAAAACACCCAGTTCACCCAGCTTCGAGCCGGATCTTCGGAAGCCAGTCCTGTTCAAATCTGGGGTCAACCTGTGCCCCATCTCTGGACGACGCCGTAGATGGCCGACTGTCAAGCTCCGGGTACGGCTCAGGCGCAATTGGCACCTGAGCGGCGGCCACTGGTTGAGGCCCCTTCTGGGTTTTGGGAATGAACCTGGGGATTGCCCTTGAAGAAAACCATGATAAACCATGAGATGGTTTACTTGCTGGTGCTCAGCAGGTAGGAAATGTGGTTGAGGTCCCCGAATAAAGGAAACCACTAGTTGGGTTTCTTTCTTCTTCTTTTTTTCCGGGGGTCATTCCATTTCTCATTTCCTGCCATTCTCACCAGAAGTTCCCTTGGTCAAAGCACGGCGTGCAACCAAGTCCATGTCTTTCTGGTGATCAACTCTTCCAAGATGCACAGTTCCTGACAGCTTTTGCACCAAGAACCTTTGCGCCTCCAAAGGCTGGCCTTGCGCGTAAGTTCTTCCAAGGCACGTCCCAGTGGAACTCCTGGGCGGATTCGGCTCAGAACACGCCCTCAAATCACAGACCCATGATTTGGGCATCTGAAAGCCATCACATTTCATGGTGTCCTGGGGCACATATATATATATACACACTTGAAAGCCATGCCTAGGAAGTGGTTGGGTCATGGACGGTCACCAAAGTTATCACCTCAGGAGAGATTTGCCTTGGGGAACATACACCTATCAACAAGTGTCAGCTGACCCAATCTGACCCGGCAGACCCATCGCATTCTTCCAAGCCGTGGGCCAGCTGTTCAATGCAAGGTTGCCATCACTTTTTCAAACATTTCAACATATATTCCTCCTGCATGAGGGGGGTGGGGGGGGTTCGGGGGGGGGGGTGAGTGGGGTCCCCCTTTTCGATCTCTAGTCTTCTGCACAGAGACATGGAACCATACATTGAGATTTCCGGGGGTCGAAATCGCCCCTCCCCCAACTCCATTTTTTACTGGACCCGGTGGAAATGCCGACATTGACCGCCAGCGTCTATGAGAAAACTGGGCTGCTCTCAGATCCCTGCTGCAAGTTTAACTTTTAGTGGGTTAAATGGAAATCCCCACTAAACACTAAACGGCTAAAAGGATAAGGGGATGGCTGGGAGCCACCAAGTCACCCCAGTTTCTCTGCAAGGCGCGGTGTAGTGAGCCATGCCGTCTGATGTCAGCGTCTCTGGATCGGCCTGAAATGGCAATGGGGCGAGCACCGCGATTCCAGCACGCGGCTCGGCAAAAGAGACTCGTCCGTCCAAAGCACATTATTGTGGCTGCGTGGCTAGCTCGAGTTTGCTCCTTCCTTTGCTGATCATAGCCAAATTTGTGTGCGTGGCTAGCTTGCCCGTGTGCGTGCCTTTGTTTAAGCCAGGAGTTTGACCTCAGGGCCATGTCAGCCAGTCAGGGAGAGGCCCGTGATCTGCCAAAATCTGAAGGGTAGGCAGAGAATGTGAGGGGTTCGTACCAGATTGTGACCCCAACTTAAGCAACCTCGAGAGGCCGTGGCACTGGACCACTCGCTCCATCTCTGCCTTGCAAATGGACTCGTAGTCGCTCTCCATCACGAACCTGGGCAACTTGTCGGCGTTGATCATTGGAGAGGGTCTTTACACGAGATTCTCTCATAAGACCGGCCCCCAGCAGACCTTCAGCTTCTTTCAGCCCTGCGAACAACATGCGAGCGCCGAGTGTGAAGATATTAAGCAGCAAACCAAGGGCCTACATCACTTTGCTCGCGTCCACCATTTGCCTCCAAAAAGTGCAGTATCTCCCCAAAGCAGTCCCAAGCGACCTTGTGCCATGCCTAACGGGCTTTGAGGCCACTCTTGCTACACATTCCTCGTGCTCGCTGACATATGCATTGAGGCTGTAGATGGGACGCTTTCAGAGCCCTTTGATGGAAGGCTCCTCGCCATGACCGTGAATCATTGCTGTGGTGGTTCAAAGCAATGGCCAGCAGAATGCAACACATGTTTACAATGGTGAATCACCAGCATCACCAGCAATGGCCAGCAATAATTACCTTCATGTGCTTTTCACAGCTCAAAAAAATGATATGGCTACACTAAGAACATGAGGGCCCACTGCATCTGCGGTCAGCAGCTTCATCTACTCATGGAGGCTGTCCAATGAATCAGAGAGACTGAACAATCGCATGCTTGTTTGCTTGCTTGGTTGCGTGCTTGTCTGCTTGTCTCTCTTTGCTTCTTTTCTTGCTTTGTTTATTTTGTCAGCGTTGCGCCCATGGCCAGCAAACCAACTTGACACAACTCCCCGAAAGGCCGCCCCACTCCGGGAGCATGCTGAGCTCGCTGCTTGTAGGTGCAGCTGCCAGGGGGGGCCTTCCTGCAAGCAGGGGGGAGTCAACCGTCCGCAGCCTCGGTAAATTTGAACCGGGCGAGACATCTTCGTTGCCGTTGGCTTTTGTGGTGGCTCGGAAAATCCCGAGCTGTTTGCACCAGCAGGTTCGTCCAAGGATCCGTGACCAAGTAGCCACATAGCCATGGCAAAGACTTGGACGCGTGCAACATCTACACGCAATCAGCTGGAAGTCCGTTCTGCCTCCCTACATGCAGCCTTAAAGCCTCAAAGACTCTAAGGGTATCGATCAACGCCTGCTTTTGCAGGTTGCATTAGCAAGGGACACAAAGACCACCACCCCAGCACTCGATTGGTGGCGGGAGCTGGGTTGCTTTGAAGCGGCAGTCCGACTTGATTTGTCTGCGACCAGGAAACCGCCGTTCACATTCCGCGAGTTTGCCTTCTTTTTTTTGGGGTATCTACTTGCATATTCGGATGACATTCACCATCAAACTTGGGGGGGGCACCTCTGAATTGAACTAAAACAAAACACATAACTCACCCCCACCCTCGGCTTCCGACTGGAACCCAACCGGACCCACATGACCTCACCTTGCTTCGATGAAACCGGCCGTCCTGGAGGCGATCCAATCCACCTGATCTGGGCCCACGTCCACTGGCACCACCTGGATCTCGAAGGGACCTCCGTAGTCTTTCTGTGGGTAGACCTCAGCTCGGAACGCCCGTCCGAGCTGAAGTCCCAGTCCATAGAAGTCCATGATGTGTGGAATGCCTGTCCATAGAAATCCATGATGTGCGGAATGCATGATTTTGCATCAAGAGGCCCCCAACAACCACACAAACATGTTTCTTTCTTTTAAATACCCTCTTGGCGATTGGCTCAGGGGTAAAGAACGCAAAAAGGGAATTTCATGGAGCTTATCCCGTCAAGCTCTCCTTGGAGACGCAGATCTCCTAGCATGTTGCAACCAGGGGTGTAAGAACCATGTCATCCACCTGAACATTACACCTTGCGGTGTCATGGAACAGATATTTTGTCAAACACCAAAGTGTATGCTGTCCGGATCCTTGAACAACTGCCCACCCAGGACCCCGAAAAGGGGCTCGCTCCCCAAACGGGAGATTGCGCATGTGACCCTCCCACCAATTCACATGGAACAGGAGCAGGCAGGTTTACCCCCGAACCCGAACGTCAGCTTCCATGTGAAAAGGGTTGTAAGTTACTTAGGGCCCCTTGATGTCCCACACAAAGCTCTGGATGCTGAAGCAACTTGCAACCAGTTTGTTCGCTGAAACCAGTTCCTGTGCAGGTCTAGCTGTACCCTCCCCATTCTCTTCCGGCCAAAACCTGGAAAATGGGTGGTTTCCAAAGAGAACGATGGGTGAAGAGAATGGACAAGGAATCAAACCTTCGCACAGCAAATTGCAGTTGTTCTTGTCAGTCAGGCTGACTCGGCTGCCCTAAGGCCCTAAGGCCGCAGCTCCCTGCCAGCGGGGAGCCACGTAGTAGTCCCCACGGACGTACTTGGGGAACTCCTGCTGCCCGCCCACCTTCCACCTCGGTGGATACGTCCGACGTGGCTTTTTGTGAAAGAAATCGACGGGTGTCGCTGGGAAATGGATGGCAACCCCACCAAACACCAGCGGAACCCATCTTTGAACCAAACTTCTGTCTACCTAGCTATCTATTTATCCATCTATCTAGTGCCTACTTACCTACCCACCTATCTGTCGATCTATCTACTTATATATATATATACATATTGTATTTTGAATCAAAGAGACCTGGCCAGACTGGTTCATTCAGGGTTCTTTCTCCTCTCCGCCAAAAGGGGAAAACAAAGAACCATCATTGTCAATTGCCCCAGTGGCAATTGGGGGACTCGCTCGCACTTCGGCTCGTCATTCAGCGGTTGACAGCCTGGCCCTTCCTCGACTTCAATCCGGCCCACGGGCCCGTGCATACGAGGGTAACAAACATGCGCACAACGGGACTGGAAAGGCGGGCTGTGATGGCTCACCTTTGCTTGACTTTGCACCGCGGTGCATTCCCTTGACGAAACAAACAAGGTGCACCTGTAATCCTGGTAATGTTCACCCCACATTCATCAACTATTTTTAGTGGGTAATTTCACCCCTAAACAACTGATGTTCACTGATGTTCAACTAATGTTCAACTAATGTTCACCCCTAAACAAGGCGCCCCTGAGTTTCGTGGGCAATCATCACTTTTGGAGGGGAACACCCCCCAAACTACTCAGTTTGGGTTGATTTCTATGGGGTCAACCTTATCTGGGCGTGGCTGAAAAAATTAAAGAGCTAGGGCAAACCGCAGGTTTTTAGGTCTTTTCCATTGGCCCAGGTCTCATTTTGGTACTTGGTTGACGTTGGAAGAGGAGCAAACATTTAAATTTTAGCAGCTAAGCGGGGATTTCAACCACTAAACCACAATGAGCAAAAATACGTAATATGTTTCCCAACGAAAACCATGCATTTCGTTGAGCCACAGGCGTCTGGTGACATCACGACCTCACGGCCCGGCCTGAACTTGCAGTCCATGAGGTTGGCCTGTGGCCCATAGGCCTCCTCGGTCCACTCCGCCGCATCCACGTCCTGCGCTTCAGGCCATGCTCGTCAAGCCGAAGCCCAAGTCACTTCCCGAGTGGAGGGCCCAACAAAAATAGACTGAACTTTATGTTTGCCACTGACATAGTCTTCCCAAAAAGTGACTAAAGTTCATGAACTCAGGAAGTGAGCCGAAAATCCTATCACCTTTTAGAGCTCGTCGCACGGCCCACTTTCAGGCTGACAGCTGTCCTCCTCTGGAACAGCTGCGCCTTGTCTAAGCTCGATGATGACCTGGCGCAAGTTCTCCCGCGATCACTGCTTTTCTTGAGTTTGATTCGGACAAGGGAATGGAAGGCCAGAGCTACAAGAAACCGGGGATATATGCAACAGCCTATTCTGCTGCGAGAAAGGCCCTGCCTCGCAGCACGAGTGGGAAAGCCAACCAGACATATACATTTACATAACTAATCCTACAAATCTAGAGGGATTGACTGCTACGCAGCTAGGCTCCCTGGTCGTTGCCACTAAATGCACCTGGCACCCAAGCCCAGTTGGATCGCGGGGCCTCCTCTCCATCCTCCAGGGTGGAGCAAATCACCTGCCGCGGCCTGGCGGACTCTGAATCCTGTGACTGTTTCCAGTTTCGCTTTAATCAACCGCGTTTTTTGTTGCAAAACAGAAACCGGGGCAACAACTCCGGGCAAACAAATCTCGGCACAAATTGGGACTTCCTGTTATTGAAGCGGTTCCCGAACCATCGATTTAAAAGCCCGTACCCCCAGTGAACATCCCAATCCCCACTAAAATTGACTAAAATGGGTGGTGCACCTACCCCAAAATAGTACCATTGGTTTTGACCCAAAGCCATATATACATCTCTTATTGTAACAAAAAACCGAGGCCAAATCACGCAAAGGGGTACACAAGAGGCCCTGCTTCTGTTCAATCTGACAGTTTCGTGGTTCGCTGCCCAGCTTTTTAGTTCCACGATCAAGACCTGAGCCTTTTACTTTTCAAGGTGGTTTCATCCGATGCTTTTCCAGACAATTGTGCAGGTGGTCCCCAAACTTTTCGAATTTTAGATAACTTCTCTACGCAAAGTAAGGCCTTCTGTTCAGTTTCACTGTTTCGTGGTTTGCTTTAATGTCTAGCTTTCCCAGCAGAAATCCCCAGATCAAACTCTTAGCCGTTTAGTTCAGGGAGGTTCCTTGCAACCTGAGAGTCTGCAGTATGGGCGCCGTGGGTGAGTGAGCCTCTTTGACTAGTGTGTGCACATAGCAAACAAAGTCAGTCGGTTGGGTATGAGGATGCTGCTAATTCCAATGGAAAAGATGGACAAAAAGGCATGCTACGTGCTGTTCAGCTAGTCTAGGTGCATCGGAAAAGCTACGTGCCTACGGTATCACAACGTAAATCAAGCTGGGTTGGTATTTGTCGCATCAGGGTAAACATGTTGAATCAAGTGTAGTGGCGTGGCTTCAAGTGGAGTAGCATGGAGATGAGCGGAGTGGAATGGAATGCAATAATGTTGAGTTTGCTTCAACAGCCACAGTCCAGCAAGGCCTCTTTAGTGCAAAATCCGGGGCTTGGGCTTGACTTCGACTTTCCAACACTTACTAGAATTTTGCTAGTACAACAAATATCTCCTTTCAGGAAACCAATGTCAGGATACTTTAAACTCCGACAATCGCAGGAACGCCATGCTCGCGCTTTCTCTCTCTGCGCTCTTCCAGCGGCTGTGAAAGTCTGCTAAGGGGCCCTTGAGGTGGATTTTCCTCGGTTGGCAAACAGGTGGTGCCGTCCCATTTGGTTTCAAAAGGAATGGTAGGGGTTCAAATCACCAAGGCACCCATACAAACCAGCTGTAAAAGCTTGCCTGATGGATGGTCATGGCTTCCCTCAATGCCAAAAGGCACACATGCAAACACAAACACATACGCGAACGCACGCAGTAGCAACCAATCAACCAAAAGCGATTGAATCCAATCCAATCCAATCCAATCCAATCAGTCAACAACCGTCGTCGCCAGGGTCTGCGGCAAACGTTGCCCAGTGCCCCGTTTCTCCGTTTCTCAACGGCCCATCCTGACTCGTTAGGGCCAATTCCTCCTGCTTAAACATGTTTAAACATGTTGAAATTGGAGTGAAACAACTTTTGGTTGGGGGAGCGGAATCTGTTTTTCTTTTTTGGACACGCTATTAGAGAGGCAGGCCCAAGGACACATCCCCAGCGCAGCCCACAGAAACTCCCCGGCGGAATCTGGTTGTCTCAACAAACTTTGGGCCAATCCTCTTGCTTAAACATGTTGAAACTCTATCTCAAACAACTTTTGGTGGGGGGGGGGAATCCGTTTTTTTTCCTTCAAATTTTGCCTGCCCTCGTCCCCACTCCCCGTCTCGTCCCCCCATGTCCCCCGCTTCAGCGTGGTGCCCTCAGAGTTCAACACCCGCTGCGGCACCTGGCCGTGCCCTTTGGCGGATTTCAAGTGCCCCGAGTGTCAAGCAGCAACCCAGAAGTAGCTCACACACACACACACTGATGTCAACAAAGAGAGCGAGAGAGAGAAACACTTGTAGATACATACAGATATATATATAAATATATATACATGTATATATATATACATGTACCACATATATACACATGTACATCTATATACCTGATTCTGCCTGGTAGGTACGTGCATTTCTGCAGCGATGCAAAGACACCCACACACATGTGAATAAATATATAGTTATATAGTTATATACATATATATATATATGTGATACGCAGATCGCTTGTCAGTCCCAACTGTTTTGCTTCCAGCAATGCATCTCTACGCCTGAGTGCAAAACATGAAGGAAAGCAAGTGGCACAAAGCGTCACAGGCTTTCGCGTAACTTCCTTGGACACCTTGAGAATACGAAGTCCCTTTTTGCAGCCTTTCCAACGTGGTTGCATGTGAAGCCAAAGCCTAGCGGAGCTTCAGCAGGTGCCTCATACTGTAGAGTCCTATGCTTTTTTGGCAACCCTAATAGTGAGATTGGCGATGTGTATGCTATTAGCCAAGCTTCTGAGATCTGTGAACCTGTCAGTTTGGGGTCGTTGGGCACAGTTGCAGCAGCTTAAGGTTTGCACACGAGGGTGGTGAAGCAGCTTGTTTCAAAAAAATATACGCTGCAGCGGTTTTGCCAGAAAGAAAGCATGCACATGTGTGAAGACAACTGCGCAGGTAGGCAAACAGGCAGGCAGGCAGGCAGGAGGGCCTATGCATGCATGTATGGTTGCTACATGCAACTGACCAGTGGGATCTTGCATTGCAGCCAGAGGTCGCGAAGGCTACGGCACTCATGTTTGACCACGTCCCTTTCCCACAGCGGGAGTCGGAGCTCCCGTAGAACAAATAACTCTGCAGCTGGAGCTGTGGGAATATGAAGAAGCAACCGCACATGAACACCACTGAAAGCTTCGATGAGAGCCGGCGCGCGCTGCTAGAATCGAATGCTAGTCGATCGCGCGGGGCTTTAAGTTGGTTGGCAAAGGTTGGGCTAAGGGCATCCATCCTTCCTCCCTCGCGCAACTTGCATGGGGTGAAGTTCAGTCGGGAATGATGATGAGAAACGTGGGCTTTTGCAAAGAATCTGGTCAATTTGTACCGAATGCATCGCCCCCTACTGTTGGGATGACGGGGCAAGCAGCACAAAAACACCCAAAATGATGAAATCATCCAACAGAAAAAATCTCCCGCCCCCCAATTCCATTTAAACTGGCTCACCCTACCTGGAGATCAGGGGTCGTTTAATCATTAATCCCTCCCCCCTCTTTCAATTCCACAATTCATGGGCCTGAACATCTCAACCAGCCCCTTGCCACCTCTTCCCATCCCCACCCATCCCCACCCACCCAACCCACCCAATCCACCCAACCCACCCAACCGACCCACCCACCCGGCCACCCGGCCACCCGGCCGCCCGGCCCAAAGCGACGAACCCCCGAACCGCTGGCCCGAAAGGCGTGGGGGTACTTCTCCCGCTGCACCCGCGTGGCGGCCACCAGTGCCTCGGAAATCCGCGGACGCCGCGCCCGTTTTTCCGCCCCTGGGAGAAAAATCACGCCGTGACCCTCTTATTAAAAAAAGCAAACCAAAGAAAACGGTCCTTGGAGAAGATGGGAGAAAAACAAATGCTTCTTCGCCAAGCCCCCCCCCAAAAAGATATGTCCAGTTCTTCAAAGATTCCTTTCAAGACCAACAAGGGAAAACATACAAATACATGTTCGGAAACCACATACTGTGGATGGACAAAATCCTGCACCACTTTGAAATCATGGTTGAACCCATTGTTTGTTGGTATTTACAGAAAAATCATCATTCCAGGGATTCTGAGGTAACCATCACATTTGTTGGTATTTACGTTGGGGAATCGAATCAGACACCGAGGTTTCTGAACGGCGCGACATGGATTCGCAACCATCCGCAGTATATGTCTTGTTTCAGGGGACTTTCAAGGGGATTCGGTTTTCCCTTAAACTTCCCGGTGCCACAAAACGGGGGGTACCCTCCGCAAAAAGGCAAGCCCCAATTGATTTCAATGGCCGGCGGACATCGCACAGGGTCCAAATCCCCAATCTCATCCAGCAAGCAACGCCGTCACAAGATGTTTGCAGGTGTTTCTTCCATTTGCGTTTTCGCCCCCTGAGAAAATAACATAACTGTCAGTAGTGATATTATTTAAGCAAATGGAAGTTTTCACATGTGCAAAGCCCCAAGAATCGAAGAATGCTGGTTAATCCTGCACTTCCATGTGCTGATTGGGCCAAAGCATGACAGCCTCATTGCGCTTCCACGTGCAATCTGGGCGCATTCAAGCAATCGGGAAGCATGGACAAGTTCCCATAAACACAACACACCATCTTAAATGAGCACACCTGCCTAAGCAAAAGAACATTGAGGATGTTTGATGCAGGAGGAACTAACCAAAATGCACAACGGCTTCAGCTGGGATTGGAACCAGCCATCGCATGTGCTGCTTGCCGGCACCGCATTGCACCTGCCAGTGGCAAACACAACCGCTGGATTTGCCGACTGACAAGACTGACATGCGATAAAAACGGCATGGGGCGCTACAACAATGGATGCTCTCCCAAGCAGCAAACTTTCGGCGGAATCTGAATCTTGGCATGCCGGTGCTTTCTGCGTGAGTTGCCACTTGCTTCTCGTAGCTTACTAAGGTCTGAAGCTGTATTTTCCGCGTGCCTTCGTACGCCAAACCTGACTGAACTTTTCCACAGCCGTCTTCCATTGTTCACCGCATATGGCTTCGTGTCACTTGTCCAACACGATGCCCCCAATCCCAGCGGTGCGGTTTCCGGCCCAGCACAGTGCGGCTTGCCCTTCGCGAGTCCGCATACTCCAAAACTGCAGTCAATTCACCTTACATATATTGAAGCTAAGAAACAAGAGAGGGATGTCTTTACGCTCCACCTAGCTCATTGATTGATTTATTTGCAGCAATGTTGAAAGGGAATTCGCTGCAGGCTGAGGGCATGATGCAATGCCCAGTCCAACCTGCTTGGAGCGCTCATGGCCACCCTTTGCAAGAATGATGCAACCAGATGTCTGGATCGCAGTGTTCCGGCATCTCAAGCATGCTCAAAGAACCCATATCCTCACATGGATATGCTGGGGATAGCTTCAACTCCTTCTGCCAGATAACTCTATTGCCGAGTTCGGGGCCATGCCCAACCTCCGGCTGTTACCATTCCTGCTTTGCATGGGACCTTTTTCGGATCTCAGAGGGGGGTGAGGGAGATTTTGGCCCCTCCAACAAGTGGTCTGAATCGCACATTTCACCCGGGGGTAACCAACCTAACAAACTGGTCGGACGGGGTCAACATTCACCCGCCTCAAACTTCAGGTTCTGGCAGTTCACCAGCACCTGCGCACCCAAAACCAACGGAGTGAGCTAAGTATGGCCACGTTCTAAATGTAAGTGAGGGACACGTGTTGCTGCAAATCGCAATGGCGCGTGGCTGGATTGCTTGAACTGGCAGGAAAACAAATCCTCTGCCTTCTGGGGGAGGGGGGGGGACTTCATGCCTCCAGTCTTCCCAGGAAAAAGAAACCTGGGCGTTCCCCCCTCCCGGAATGGGTAAGTTTCCCCTGTCTCTGAAGCAAAGACCAGATCCGGTCGGGAAGTTTGTTTGCTGCGCGCCTGGCGGCCTTTTGCTCGCCGCTTGGCTGGAGTCCCGTAAATAGCCACTGTGATCCCAGTTGCTAGCCTATGTTGTCCAACCAACCAGCCGACCCAACCACCCAGCCACCCTGCCACCACACACCAACCCACCAACCCACCCAACCACCAACCCACCAACCCACCAACCCACCCAGCCACCTACCACCCTACGCACCCGCCCACCAACCGACAAACCGACGAACCGACGAACCGACCCACCAACTCAACGCCCTTGTGAGGCTGAAGGCACTTTGCAAAGAGCGAAGCCTCCAAGAGACCCATTAAGCATCTCAACTGCTGGTACAAAATACAAGTGAGCTCCATTCCTGCAGTTTCTGCTCGGAGTAACTAGATTTTTTTAATGTAAGCTCCAGTCCCGCGGTCTATGCCTCTGGCCGAAATGCACAGCTCAAATCTCGATTGAAATTAAAAGCTGTTTGATGGTGCCGGAGCACAGGCGTGTCTCTGCAAGGCAATTCCCCATCGTTTCCCCCAAATCGATTCTCCAGCTCTCCTCATTTCACTGTGACTGGGTCGTCGCCAAAAAAAAAGCTACTCGATGTGCAAGTCTTCAAGCGAAGGTTTGGTTGGTTCGTCGGTCGCTCGGTCGCCGGCTGGTTGGTTGGTTGGTTGGTTGGTTGGTTGGTTGGTTGGTTGGTTGGTTGGTTGGTTGGTTGGTTGCTTAAACATTTCCATTCTTGGCCCGGTGGCTATGTGCGTTGCCCCCCCCCCCCCGCCCAGCCTTCATCGAGGTAAGGCACGGCTCCGCGGCCCGCCCACGCCTTGAGCCTTGTTACCTACAGTCGGTGAGGTTCATGGACACCCACCCTATTTGAACGGTGGCCTTTTGCCTGTTGCGGACTCTTGCCCAGGTCTTCCAGTAGACAGGTTAGAATAAGGCCACCCTTTTCCAGTTTAGTAGGGGAACCCTCCCCCAAAAAGCTGGTAAAAGGGCACTACTGGGGGACCTAGATGCTTACCGCTGGTCGATTTGCACATGCACACACACACACACACACACACACACACACACACACACACACACACACACACACACACACACGCACACACCCAATCCTCTCCTCGCATTGAAGGCAAGGAACCCGAGGCGTGCTGCCTAAACAAACGGATTGCACGCTTCAAGTCAAAGGTAAAACTTGCCACCTGCAATCTGCTGGCAATCGGCGACTGGGTGCTTCGGTCAATACGCATCTGCCTGATGCCCTCCTGCTTGTGATGACCCTTCCTTCCATCATATGCCGGCAAGAGGTCTTATCACGGTGTAGCTGATAACCATTGGAACCTCTTCTCTTCGACTCGTCTTGGCAGACTTCGGGACGGTCTTTGAGATCAAGCGCATGTTGCTGGCAAAAAAGTGCCACTTGGCACTGGTGACATGGACGTTTACTTGCCTGTGAAGTACTCAGGCAAGCGGCATGAATAGAACAGAACACCGCCGTACTTCAACATACACATTGCGCCACAGCAGCATCGATAGGAGTCAAACCCACTGGAGAACTCCAAGACTTTGGAAGCAAGGGGCCTATCTTCAGAAAAAGAACCTTGTCTGGCCGAGGGTCACATACTCAATGCTTCACTTTGCTCCTTCCGGCGTCCCAAAGTTGCCAGCCCTCTCGTGCAGCATGCCCTCCATCCCAGGGCTGCTTTCATGCGCGCCCATCTTTTTGCAATCTGAGCTTTCGCCAAGCGCTCTGTCACACCACGGGGGAACTCCCAGCCGCCTGAAAGCGAAGGAGCTGCGGCGGGTCCATTTGCAACCTCTGCCAGAAACCGACCTTTCCTAAGTGGCCATTTAATGCTGGTCTGCTATTGGCCCCGTCGTTCCAAAAAGAACATAGCCTTAAGATGTCCTAAGATCACCTCGAAGCAAGCCAACAGAAATGAGAATCTCCACGCCAAGAAGCAACTCACGCTCCTCGGAAGTGGAGAAAAGTGCAGGCGTCAGCCTTTCGCATCCTCTCGGCACGTCTCCCCAGCCGTCCCATAGGCCTTGTCCCTGTGGAAGAAAATGCGACCGGCTGTTCTCAGGGAGCCTGGCGATGGGCGCGAGGCTAAGCCAGGGCTAATTCACAAACACTGGCTTTGAATATATGCTACTAAATAAGAAAGGATGCCAACAACACAAATGCAAAGGACAACCATGTTGCAATATAAGGTGATGCCTGGTGTCGTTCACACCCCCCTCCCCACGTCACATCGCAATGCTTTCTGCGCCTGCGATGATGGCCCCAGCAATCACAATGACGATGAGCGCCACTGCGCAAATGACGGCAAGCAACAAGTACCTCCAGTCGAGTTGGTGCGGGGACTTCAGGCATCAGTGCAAACCAGTCCACGGGATCAAACAACTTGAATGAACATTGGCACGTAATCGTCCCAACCAAAGAATCTGTCTTCGCGAGGCTGGGACCGTTCTTGGGCCACACTGAGGTGAACAACTAGCTGTATCAGCACCTGCTTGCTGCTTATTTGGTCTGCTCGTGCCCAAGAAAACCCTACCAAACAAAGCGGGCAGCTCCTTCTGATCCTTCTGAGCCTTCATGGCATTATAGCTTTGGAGCAACAGCTTCCCCATCCAACTGGCGAGCATGAGCGCTCAGTCGCCGCGCCTTTGACATGCCCGCTAACATCCACCCGAAGGGCAACTCAATCCCCCTTGGCCCAAACGATACCCGCAAAAAAACAACAACACCAACGACCGACGGACCTTTTCCTGGCTCAACGGGCAACCAAACATCGGTCGGCCAGGTGCCTTGACCCAAAAAAAACGGGCGCCGCGGCGCCTGTCCCTGAGGAAGGGGGGCTCGAAGGTCTGGTTGGCGTCTTGCAAGGCCCGGACCTGGAGACCAGGGATATCTCAGAGAGAGGCGAGGGAAATTGGAAGTGTGTCCAAAGCCTGCAATTGCAATCCAATCGTTTTATCCTGGAATTTAAGAGGATTGATAAGGGCATAGGCCACCAAACGTAGCGGCAGGAGGACAAATCATGGAGGACTGCCTGTGGCTGAACCTGCGGGTTCCGAGCGAAAACGACATGTTTCGACACCGCGCACAGCTCAGCGACGTAAGGCCGAGCTACAGTCGCGGCCCAAGGGCGTGAGACAATTGGAGCCAGCGTGGAACTTGGCCAAGCTGAGACGCTGTGAAGCGCCCGCTCTGCCCGAGGCTCATGTCAGAGGGAGATTGTTTAAATGGAAAATTAAACAAAAAGAACCAAGAGTTGCAATGAAAAGCTTGCCATCTTCAGGCAGATGATTTAGCAAACACAAATCAGTGTAATTAAGTCTGCGAGGGATGCATCCAAACACATGCGTGCCGAGGATCCGTGCAGAAGCGGGACCCCTTTTGTTTCCATCACTCCAAGGTTCCAACAAGGGTCAGCTGATCCGAGGTCGCTTATGTTTTTCGAGCGAGCCGCTCATGGATGGCTCATGTGGGCCAGGGAAGGGCCTACGGCCTATGCTTGCCGTACAACACATCAAGGCCGAAAATATGCGCTGTCCGATTTCGAATCCCCTGCAAAAAGTTTAACTCTCAGTGGGTTAAATGGAAACCCCCCGCTAAACCGGCTACAAAGCTCAGGGGATAGTTGGGACCAAGAGCAGAAATGCTGCAAAAACACCTTGCCAGTTCCAAACAGCTATGCTCCGCGTGTGCCACTCTTTGAGTGCGCCGGGGGCCATAGCCCTTGAACTTTCCTAATTCTACACTGCGTGAGGAAAGAGTTGCCGAGGCAAGCTGGGAACATCGTCCCTGAAAGAAAGAGCATGGGTAAAGTTTCGTATTGCCACAGGTGCAAGTAGCAAGCACCTTTCAACTCAACACACACACACACATATATATATATATATATATATATATATATGCGTACATATGTGTATATATATATATATGCATATGTAAGCCGCGGAAACTGCTCCAACATGCATCTTTCCAGCCAGCTCCTCGGCAAACCACGCGCGCATCTCTCGGCGCGGTCGACTAGTCTACGCTCGCGACTCGCGTCGCGCGCGGTTGGTGCGGTGGGATTTTCCGTCTCAGTGGGGCGGCCGGCAGCGGCCAATGCGCTGGCCCTCGCAGGCCTCATCCTGCACCACGCAGACCTCACCCCCCAGGTCAAGACCGGGGGGAGAGCAGCAGAAGTCGTAGCAGTGCTGCACCTTGGGTTCGGAAGAAAACGGGCTCCGCGCGTTGGGAGCTGGAATTCCATTTGGGCTTGTTGCTTTGGAAGGGAAGGCAAAGGGAAAACAGCCAAACCGAGGTTTCCCCATTTTGAGACACACCCCAATGAGCATGGCTCACCAAGGCTAGCACGAAGAGATCTCTTGGCTCAACAAGGATCCGGTTCGGGGAAGCTCTCTGCATCAGGAAACACCTACGTTCAATTCTATGTCCAAGTGGCATCCCCTAACCAATCCGATCAGAAACCCCCTATGACCACATCATCCCTCCCTCCCCCCCTCCCTCCCTCCCTCCCTCCTTCCCTCCCTCCTTCCCTCCCTCCCTCCCTCCCTCCCTCGCTCCCTCGCTCTCCGTCTCTCTCTCCGTCTCTCTCTCTGTCTCTCTCTCTGTCTCTCTCTGTCTCTCTCTCTCTCTCTCTCTCTCTGTCTCTCTCTCTCTCTCTCTCGCCCTCTCTGTGTGTGTGTGTCTGTGCCTGTCTGTGTTGCTCTGTGTCTCTGTCTGCTCTGTCTCCCCCTCTCTCTCCCTCTCTCTCTCTCTCTCTCTCTCTCTCTCTCTCTCTCGCTCTCTCTCTCTCTCTCTCTCTCTCTCTCTCGCTTTCTTGCTTTCTTGCTTTCTCGCTGCTTACTTGTGTTCTTTCTTTCTGTCTTTCTTTCTTTCTTTCTTTCTTTGTTTCCTTTGTTTCCTCTCTCACTTTCTTGCTTTCTGCCCTCCCCCTCTCCATATTATGCCTTGGCACACCGCCTTCCACGTTGACACTCCAGCCGTTGGCGCACTTGCACCCTTTCGAGGTTTTCCTCAGGGGATGGGCTCTCGAACGCAAACACGCGTGAAAACAAAGCAATCACAAGCAAAGCAAGGCAAAGCACAGCAAGGCAAGCAAGATCCCAAAGCAAAGCAACAAAGCTCAACAAAGAACGGAACCGCAAATCACGAAATAACGCCAGGCAATAATGCGAAGCAGCAATGCAAAGCAGCGACCAAAGCAACAATGCAAAGCAATGACGCAAAGCAAAGCACAGCAGAAAAGCAACACAAAGCAATGCTGCACGACAATACATAATGCACAGCACAACAAAAAAAGCGAAGCGATGACACGAAGCAGCACTGCAAAGCAAGAAAGCCGGGCAACACAAGCAAGGCAACCTTCAATGCGCTTTGCAACATGCTCAAAGCTTTTTGTTAAACCTCAAAGCTCAGATTTCTCAGTGTTAGGCACAACTATGAACTGGACCAGTTACCCTCCGGTCCACTAACATGGAACCTGACTAGAGGGTCCTAGATTATTTTCCTGAAGTCTCTGGTCGGTTGAATGTGGAAAAGAGGGTAACCATAGACGGCCTATTGGGAAAATAGCTGAGTTCTGGGATATGCGGCGTAGAATTAAACCCTCTGAAAAACCAAACTAATCGAGTAACGATGTGGTTCCATGCGGGTGTTGATCAAAAGGTCCTTTACATGGGATGACCATTGGGGAAACCCCTGCAAAGATGCTATTTCCCACATAGGAAAGTGTAGCTTGGTCATTTGGGGCCGAACGGAAATATTCATTACCTCGCCATGTGGGTGTAGCAAATGGGGCATAAGACCCATCTAAACCAGTGGAACCCACCTATTTCTTGTCTAATTGATGAAACTATTCGACCATGCCCTTTACACTCCTGGTAATTAGCTCTTCAGCTCCCGTGCTAAAAGCAAAATTTGGATATCACATGACTAGGTCCTCCAGTAGAGCGGTTAGAATAAGGGTACCAACTTTTCTCTGTAGCCTATATTTTACTAAAAACCCTCCCAACCAAAAAAGTTGGTGAGAAAGGGCACCTAGCTGAAAAACCTAGCAATGATCTCACCAGCTCCGCAACTGCTCGGAGCCCTTCCGAGCACCGGCCAATGCCTCGTCCGCACCGATCCGGGACCAAAAGGAAACTCACTTTCCACCCCAAGGGCGCATGTTGAGACCGCATCTGACGAAAAGGTCAGGGAGTCACTTTCGATCCGACGAGTCCTCTGGGGAGGCGCGGGCTTCTCCGCGGCCGCGCAGGGGCCCCAGGCCATGCCCTGGCAGCTGGGGTCCTCGAGCGGACGGGTGCAAAAGACCGGAAACCCGAGGTTCCACGGAGTTAGACGGTTTTCTGCCCCATTTGCCACGCCATGGGCTTGATCAATATTCCGTTCGGCCCATGACCAAGGACAACACTTCTCCCATGTGGGAAATAGCATTTTTCGAGGGGGTAACAGGTCAAATTTGAGCGAAACCCCGATTTGTTGGATGGCTTCAGAAGGAAACCATGTCGTTTTTGGAAGTCATTTTTGGGAAGGTTTTGAAAGGGAACCTAAAGGAAAACCCAAATCCATGTTTGGGATGCTTTGGATGGTTTTGGATGGAAACCAGAAGGAACACCCAAATCCATGTTTGGGGGTGCAACCTGAAACAAGACACACACACACACACCATTTACAGGATGGCCTCTTCGGCTAGGACACCAAACGATGGTTTGGACAGCTCTAAAGGCTTTCCCTTGTCTGGTTGACTTCCTCGCGTTTGACGCAACGCTTCTCCTTCACCATGCACCAGTCCCACGCCGTGGTGCCTCGGTCAATGGATTGCGAGCGTTGGGAGCCCCAAGCGGGCACTCTCTGCTAGCACGTTGCAGCGTTTTTGTTTTCTTTCCGGAAGTACAAGTGCCCGTTCTTTGTGGTACATCTCGGACTCTGCCGTTTCTGGGTACATGCAATCTGCAGTTCCTGTGGCCCGGGGCCATCCAGCAGAATGGACAATGAGACTTCTCCTGTGATTTCCGCAATGCATGAGGTGCGCATGCTTCTATGCAAGCCCAGACGGAGCAACTACAGAGCTGACCCTTGTAAAACGTTGTTGGCAGCGAGGGTTTTCCTCATGTTGCCGAACTTCTTGCCCCCTCTCGTGCTGGTTTCTCTTACCGGGCGAACCCTCCTCAGTCCGTCCTTCTCGCCGGTGGCTGAGGTTGGGATTGCTTTGCTGGGGCTCACGCATGCTCTCTCGTCCTCTCACTCGCTCTGACAGGTCATTCTAGGCGCTTCTCGTTTCTATGTTCCGGCACCCGTTGATTGGCTCGGCTCTTGCATGGGTCTAGCTCATGCCTTGTTCGGGGTTTTGGCTTCTAAAATTCATTGAGAGTCCCAAATGAGAAAGGCGATAACTTCTTCTCCAACCAGGGTTGTATAAATCATAAACATACATGCATACGTACATATGCCTCTCACATGAGATTCCCAAACACCTATTCAGAGAACACAAACAGGTACGGGTGAAAATTAAACCAGGGGAGCCCCAGGTCTTAGTCCTTGTTTCCAGTTCCCAGGGCAATGGGTAATTACTCCCCCAGGCGATTCCATGGAAGCTCCAAGGACCCCAAGGAAGACTTGGTTCCACTTGTTGGCCTTCTGGGAGCGTCCGTGGCTTGAGGGAGTGTACCTACTTGACCCACACAATGCTTCGCCCTTGACGCCCTAGGTCCTCCAGTCGCGAGGTTAGAATAAGGGTACCAACTTTTTTCTGTAGTCTATTTTAGTAGGGGAACCCTCCCCCAAAAAAGGGTGAGAAAGGGCACCAATTGCTGGGGGACCTAGTCTCTCGTCTCCCAACCGGCCCGAGGAATCATTTTTTGCCAGGCTGCCGGTTGGGTTGCAGCAAGAGTCGCGGCACTCATGGCCGCTTGCAGCCCAATTCCTTGCACACTCGCAGCCTGCAGCTGGGCAAGATGAGTCATCATCCAAATCTGGTACACAAGTGGTGAACCCAAAACCATGTAAAGAAATAAGAAGGCGGCCGCACCCATTTATGGCTCGGAGTGTCCCTTGCTAACCTGCACTTATCCGGATTTTGATTGTGGCTCAAATGGCGCAATAAAGTCTGGCAGGATGGATTCTGAAGGTGGCACAGCTCACATTGGGACACCTTCTCCATCTATACCACCCATAGAGAAAGAGCAGCGATGTCACGCGATTTCACGCCCATGAAAGTCAGCCGATTCGCAGGCGCTTCGCAGCTTTCTTTTGGCAAGGAGACCCCCTAAAAGCCTTTTGCATTCAAAACGGTGCCGAGCCCCCACCTCTCCCCGTACCTTGGTTGACGTTGGAGGAGAAACACATAAATAGCAGTTAAGTGGCTGGATTTCAACCACTAAACATCAACAAGCCAAAATGTAAAATGTTTCCCAACAACAACCATGATACATCTGCATGCCTGTGCGAAACCACCCCCTTCTTGCGATACCAAAGTGGGCCAAGTCCGAATGAGTGTACTGCTGTGTCACTGCAAAAGGGATTCCCGTAGTATCACAAAAAGTGGGCGAAATCGCGAAATCTTCCAACACCATGTGCTTGCACGCATCTATCACATAGATTGCACATATACCGGTTACCGGTGGCAGCATGCCGATGAAGGCATGTCAACAAACCTTGTGGATTAGGGTTCTGAGCCTCTCTTGTAATGCTTGCTCACTTGCCCAAAGGACCTGTTTATAACAGGTCAACCTCTTGGGACCTCCACTAAAAATAGACCAACAAGGGAAAACCAAAAGGTCAAAAGGTCGGCTTTGAACAACTGTGCTTGTCATCTCAGGTTCGACGAATCCCGAGTGGGACAGGACCTCTGAAAAGCTCCTTGAGGCCGTAGCCAATCGATTAAGTTGTTGCATGTTCGCTCATATCAAACCAACTTCTGCAGGTGGATGAAAGTCAAACGACGAGTTGCACAAAGGTCCGCTTTCCCTGCCCCATCTTACAGGATCCTGATAGATGTTTGCCCCTGTTCTTTGCTCAGATCCGGCCATTTGCTCTCCGAGAAGCCGTGGGTGGTGTACCTGGGACAATTTGGGCCGCATTGTCCTTCCGTGCCCCCCTCGCAATGGGAGTTGTGCACCAGGCACTTCATGCTCGGCGGCAGGTGGGCTGAGGCGTCGTTGAAGTCCGTGCAGTACCTGGGCCGAGGCCCTGTGTCTGGGTCCAACAAAACTGGGCTGCCCTCAGATCCCCTGCTAAAAGTATAATTTTTAGTAGGTTACATGAAAATCCCCACTAAACCCTACAAGGCTAAAAGGCCAAGGGGATGGCTGGGAGCCACCAAGAAAATTGGACCCGACCTTTTTGCTGGTTGCACTTAATCCTCCCACCAATTATCATGGAACCTGACAGGGAGTCCCCTTAAACGGACAATGGTCTTCCAAGACCCCCGCCAGGCTCCATGTTGACTCGTGGGGAGTATATCAAATATATGAAATGCTGGTATGAACCCCTGGTTTTGCTGGCTTAACTAACCAATATATCAGCAAAATTCCTAAATGGTCATGGGTTCATGGACCTATGCAATCAGCCTTTGAGAAAGGGAACGACTTGCACATTGGTCTATGATGGTCTATGCCTTTTCCCTTTGAAAGCAAGGAGGACTGCTCATGGCCATGGGCCCCATCTAAAACACACTCAGATGTCTGACCATTGCAGGGTTGATGGTGAGCTGCCGAAGCCCGCAAGTTGACCACAGCCGAGATTTCCTGTTTGAAGGAAGATCGAGAGGCAGTGCCTTCTGCCCTGTCGGGCAGTGTTTCTCAGGGTGCCAGTAGCTGCTTCTGGTCGTGCACGCAACAAGCTTGCGCTCAAGCTGCATAAAAAGTGCAGATAACTGCAGGTCAACATTCTGTTTTGCCGACCAGGAATGCTTCGGAGCTGCGAGTCACAGGGTTACAGGTAGAACAAAAGGTGCAAAGCTCCCACAAACAAGCTCTTCAGTGAGCCGAGGTCAGCCCAACCCATCCCGAGCCATGGCTGCATGCCAAGTAGCGTCAAGCCTGCATACTCTTGGCCCATCCATGGGTGATAGCAGTCGCAGCCTCTGCACGTTGTCCTGACCCTCTCATCGTTGGTTTCTGCCTGGATCGGCTGATCCTCCTCCAAAGCGCGAAGATCATCCTCATCGACGCCAGCCTTCTCAAACCTCATCTCTGCCAAGCGCAGCCTAAGACCCTTGGCAACTTGGGCACAGCAAGAGCCTCAAAGATCAGCCCTGGAAGAGCACTGGCACAAATCTTCCCACCTACGAACCTGTGGCAAACATGTGGCTGCCCAATCTATCAACAGGCTAGCATCGACTCATTTTCACTACACTCAGTGCTGGTGCGATCAGTCATCTGAACTCCAACGGCTCGCGCATTCAGAGCGCCGAGGCGCAGGTCCTTGACAGCCCCCAGATCCTGCGCCAGGGCCCCTGCCACAAAGACCCAAGCCCACATCGGGCGCATCGCGGGCATCGGCCAACTTGCCGGCAGCGAACTTGCCGGCGAAGTTGGGCGTATCGCTTGAGCAGAAACGAGCCACGTGTGCTGCTGGGAAAACCTGCACTGGATTTGTTCTGTGACCCATGGTCTTGCTCCACGGCCTTTACAAAGTTGCGAACAAAAGACAGTTTGGCTTGCGGGAACGTGCAGTCGTCAAAGCATTCACTAAGGGACATTGTGCGTGTAAATCCTTTCGAATCCCGACTTGCATGCATCTTGAGGCTGAAGAAACTTGTCCAATTCCCTCTTCATATCCTCCATGTGTTTTCTTTTGTTAGAGACGTGGCAACTGACGATGTAAGCAGTGTGACAACACAAATAACAATTTGAAGTGCAGCGCAGGTTTTGGGCAACTGCTCTGTGAAGGTGCCTCGGCATCACCTTTAGTCTCACGGCATACTTGCTGCTTGACCAGCTAGCTTACCCAGCGAAGCGCGGATGTAAACTGACCGATCCAGGCACCTGGATGGCTGCGCCCAAGATCCACCGGAACTCCTGAAGAGAGCAACTGAGACAACAAAGGGCCAGCCAGCTGGACAGCAATCAGCAAACTCCAGCGTAGCACCAGCCAGCCATTCCTGGTAAAAGGGCTCCCAGATTTGGCATGACTAGGCCCTCCAGTAGAGAGGCTAGAATAAGGGTACCCTTTTTCCTGTAGTCTATTTTAGTAGGGGAACCCTCCCAACCAAAAAAGTTGGTCAGAGGGCACCTAGCTGGGGAACCTAGTTGACACAAACACGCACACCATGCACCCACATCAAATGCAAGCATCCAGCTTCGCGCGCGCCCAGCCGCGCTTGCACCCTACGGAGCACTTTTCCCAGCGCTCCTCCTTCAACAGGTCGCTCGATAAGTTGTAGCCGCCTCGCTCGAAGCTGACGGTGTAGGGCAGCACGTTGCCCAACTTGGCGCGACAGGGACACAAACCAGGGCCACAAAGGGCAGCTGTTGACCCCTCTGCAAATGTATATGTATATATATATATATACACATGTATATGCATTTGTGTGTCCAATGGGAAATCCGACCTGTTTCCCACAAAGTTCAAGTCCAAAGATCCAACCAAACGGCCATAAAGGTCTCTCACTGACCCCCAGTTACAAACCCCAAAACACTTCAGTTGGGGCTTGTCGATCCCTGATTTACCTTGTTTCACCCCCTATTTGGGGGTTTCCTTAAGAAGCGAAACCATATATATATATATATATATATATATATATATATGTATATATCGTATTTATGTGTAAATCATATGTATGCTATTTGTTCAACTTTTCGCTGAACACAAACATTCGAACACATAGAAACAAATTAAATACCTCCTCCTGTCTCCCGCGTGAGAACCACCAAACACCTGCCGCGGGTGAGCCTTTGGGAGGGCTTGTCAGAGCACATCGCAGCACATCGCAGCACTAAACCGACGGCACAGCATCCACGCACGAGACCATAAATGGAGCCACAAGTGGATCCAGGGGCCCTCCCCCAATTCTCGCTTGCTGAGTGGATGGCCCCAAAAAAGTCCAAACTTTATATCTACCACTGAAATGGTCTTCCCAAAAAGTTTAAAGTTCATGAACTGAGGAAGTGATAATTCCATATTTGAGGGGTTGGGGATGAGACCAATGAACTGCACGCTGCCAACCGCATCCGCCCCCCCCCCCCCCCCCGCGTCACCTAGAATCTGCCCGGGCTCTCCTCGAATGCTCTCCTCGAATGATAAGCGCATCCGCCCATGCTGGAGGACATTTTAGGTGGAAGAAACCGACACCCATTGCCTTCGACGCCTTCAAGGCTATGGCCGGCACTGTGCTGGGGCCCCGTGCTTGAGATCTCCTGGTCCATGCGAGATGGGTACAAACACGCGCTCAGTCGAAAGACCAGACTCGCATGTGAAGCGAACCAGTCAAAACGCACAACAACCACGAAATGAGGGATGCTCAAGTAAGGGACCTTAAGCATGGAGGCGAGGTTCCCCGCTCTGCATGCCGCATGCTGATATCGGCTTCCGAGTAAAGATATGCAGGCGGCCGTCTTTTGTTGTTGCCTCTTTTGCAGAAGTGCTGATTCTTTCAAGCTGTGTGAGCCAAGGACAAACAATGTGAGTTTTAGCAGGGTGGAGCATCTTCCGAAAAAGTTCCTTCCCACTTTGAATGCCGAAGCCGCACGGCCCGGCAACTTGTCGAAGTGAGTAGCACCCCCGACAAACCGATGCGCATTGTAAGCGACAAAACCGAAAGACACGCACTGCTCCTCAGCCCGCCCGCTACAAACCTGGCCCGTCTTTTTTGAGGCGTCAAATAGTCCAAGCGGGGAAGACCAGCTCTGCCAAGGCCCACAGTATCGGAAAAGCTGCGCTGGATACACCAAACCGTCCCGGCCAATTGGAGGCAAATCAAACTTCAGTTTTGTCGACCCTGTTTATTGCACGGCCCGTGCAAGTACAGTACAACTAGCCATGCCAGCCTATGAATCCAGTTTGGATTCGACTCCTCTCTGGGACTTGCTATCATGTTAGTTTTACAACACGTAAAGAAATGGCCAAAGAGTCCCTCCTCCCCCGTTGAGAGCCCTTCAGCCGTGCCCGTGGTTTCTCCTGGGCACCTCGTGCATGGGAATGTTGGAGCCCAGCGCCGGAGCTTCTGCCGTGGCCAGCAGCCGCTGGTTGATGTCCAGGAATTGGAACCGCGCCTCGGGCGCCGAGCCCGGTCAGCGCCGAGCCCCAAGCCGGGCCCAAGTCGGGCGCTTGCCCGGCCCCGCTTTCGACTGCAAGCGATCCACGAGTTTCGAAACCTAGACTGATTCACTGTCTGAACGTGTCAAGCGTACTACTGGCTACCACTCCCGGAAGCTGCGTCCACTCACTATGGTCATTGTAAGATTTGTTGGGTGTCTCAGGCCCAAAATTAGTGGGTGCCCTCTGTGAACACCAAAACGGGCACCCCTCAAAAATACAGACTTGATTAGCTTCTTGTGTGCGATGCGCCACTGCTCCCAAGCTCAGCACCATCCTGGGGAACAAGGTGAGTGCAATTCATCTTCATATAGGGGGAGGGCTGCACTTAGAGTTCAAGATTGTGCTTTCAATCTGCCTGAGCAGTAGGCGTATCTGTCAGCAAGGCAGGGCTTTAGAAATGCCCTGCACGACAGGAGCCTCTTTGTACATGAACGCCTTCAAATTGGAACATGTAACAGGTGCATCAACAACTTGTCTAGCAAATTGCGCCGCATAAGCTTCTAGCAAACAAGTTATCGCCCTTTGACGATCCTTTAGATCAAGGCTGTTCGAGTTTGGAGGGAGGCCGCAAGGTGGATCTCATATCATATGGCTGGTGGATCTCGAACCCCGAACAAACAGAAACTCGAACTCGAACAACAGAAACAGCAACTCGAACTCCACAGCACCGTGGCCCGGGGTACAACCTGCTTCGACATGAGCTCTGAGGCAGGACCTAGCAAGAACCCGCACCTGCTGCTTCTTTGCGGCAAAGCGTTTTGTCTGTTTTGCACTGGGTGAAACCACACGGACATTCTGTGGCCATACCGCCCAGCTGTGATGTATTCATCAAGCGTGCTGGCATGATCGCGCCGGCAAGCTTCACGGTACAGCCCTCACAATGGCAGGTCCCGGTTGATGTGCGGCATCCGAACCTGGCTTTAATCACCAGGGACTGCGTTCCATGCCAGGGTCTCCGAGGCGGTACACATGAGACTGGGCGGAGGCAACAAAACTAAAAATGACATCCAAAAAGCTTGTGTGCAAGGAGTCCATCGCCTCTTGCAAGCTGCAGGGACTCATTCGAAGTCATGCGTGACAAGGGCAAAGTCTGGTGCCATTTTGCTCAAAATGGCTCACGCACGGAGCCTTCGCACCTGAAACCACTCACTGGGCTACTTCAAAATCGGCGCGATACATGTCTGCATTGCATCTGCAAGACCAGAAAAAGGAACCACCCAGGCTCAGCAAAAGCAATGACTTGCAATAGTTTCTATTGGTAATCTGGTTTTCAAGTCACCCGCCTCAGAGATTGATTGAGATGGGGTATAGGCGTCCGCTGGCACCATGCAGAAACGCAACCCTTGTTTTACCGCCCTGCGTGGTAAACTTGAGCTAGAACATGAGACACGCTCATTCCCTCATTGCTTGGCTTACCAATCCAAGCGGAGAGAACACTAGCAGCAATTCGGCTTGTCTCCAAAAATGCAAGGTGCAAACATGGAATATCTCTGGAGGCTGCGTTTTAAAGGGTCACCTTCGTTTTACCGGGGTTTTCGCCTTGTTGCAGGCTTTTCTACGGGTCGCCTTCGTTCTACAGGGTTTTAGCCCCTATTCCGCCCAAATGCATGTCCTTGAAGCTGTGTTATTTTGGGGATCCCTCGAGTCAACTTATGGCGCTGATCACATTGCACACTGTCTGACTCCCGCTGGTTCCGATTCATTGGTCATCACAAAGGACCCGTTCAACCGCGTCATGATTAGAAGGAGCCCAGGTTTGAAAGATACGTGGCATTGAATACATCGCGTTTGCAACAGCCCATTCACCATAAACGCAAACGTACGACCATGAATCCTGGCCCAGCCAGCAAGAAAGCAAGAGACCAACCACTAAGCAACCAAGACCCCAACAACAAGCAACCAAGCAACTAACCAACAAGCATTTTAATCAATTGCCAACCAACCGCCAACATACCAGCCAACAAACCAAACAACTAGCCAACCAGCAAGCCAACCAACCAACAAACCAACCAAGCAACCAGCCAACCAACCAACCAAGCAACCAGCCAACCAACCAAGCAAGCAACCAAGCAAACATCCAAGCAAGCAACCAAGCAACCAAGCAAGCAACCAAGCAACCAAGCAACCAAGCAACCAAGCAATCAACCAACCAAGCAAGCAAGCAACCAACCAAGCAACCAACCAACCAACCAAGCAACCAACCAATCAACGTGACATACAATTGGCTTTGGCAAAGTCTCCGCGCCTTGGACTCCTGACGCCTGAACTGCGTCCTGGCAAGTGCCAGGACCCCC